TTCCAAGCACTTTAAAGCATGGACAAATGTTAGCAAGTATCAATATTAAACACGAAACCAGAATAAAAAATATTAAATTCAGTACATATAACAAACAGTATTTATGTATTTAACAGTATTTATGTATTTGTACATATAACAAACAGTATTTATGTATTTATTGGGGGGGGAGGGAATTCATAGTAAAATGGAAATGTACTGAGAGATATACATATCCAGATATAAACTTAGGCCCTTTCTACACCTTTCTACATCCAGGTTATCAAACCAGATAATCCACATTATTTGCTTTGAACTGGATTATACTGCCATATAATCCAGTTCAAAGCAGATAATCTGGATTTTATATGGCAGTGTAGAAAGGGCCTTCGTTAGTCCTGGACTCGTGAGGATTGTTTTGTATTGAAGTGTGTGTATGTAACTGTATCCAGATTAAGGGTATAATATTATTTTACAACTGGCAGGTACTATAATGGAAACAAAGCTAGAGTTCTACAGCAAAGGAAAGAAGTGATTCCTGCATTTGCTTTTCCACCTCTACACTTTGATGGAAATGCAGTATAGCACATGACAACATCTTTCTTTAAAAAGCTGATTGTAGTGATAGACTCTCCCAAAATAGCAACATTCAGAGGCTAAACAAGGCCTCCATAAGTAACGTCAGTAGGATGGATGAATGCATGCTTAATAATTACCCAACCCTTAGATTTTGTTTGTTTGTTTTTTGAGGCTCTTGAGTAAATTAATCTAGCAGAGTGTTTAACTTTCCATGTTATAGAGGAAGAAAGAACAAAAGCTCTGGAAATAGTTAGGGAATGAATGAATCCAGTAAAGAACCATATTCCCTTCCCGAGTTCCAACACTGTGCTGAAGGTGATCTAAGTGAAATATTACGTAGTATGAACCAGTGTCAAGCTAATGAGAGAGACAAAAGATCTGGACTACTCATGCCAATCTGACTTAAAGTGGAGGCTATCTACCACAGTAAAGTCAACTACTATGAGTCCTATAACAAAGGGCCCTTCCACACAGGCCCAAAATTCATGCCAAAGTGGGTTTTAAAAACCCACTTTGGCACAGACTCCCACTCCACTCCCCCAAAGAACCTGGGCTTTCCTGGGGGTGGCGAGGGAGTTGCATGCCATCTTGATTACAATTGGGATGGCATGCAGCCACCCAGAAGCCCCCCAAATTTACCCCCTAAAAATAAAAAAAACCTTACCTGGTCGCCATGTTCCTCCTTGCACCCTTCTAGCATGAAGAAATGACATTGCAAGAGACTGGGGGGGGGGGGGGGTTGAGGAGGAAAGTCCTTGGAGCCTGAAAAACTGAGATGGTTGTATGGATGCAAAGGAAATTAGTACTTCTGTAGACTAGACGTAAAAAAAGAAAACCCAACATCTCAGACTGACTCTTTGGAGCAATAACAATGCTTCCAGTTGACCTATTTCTTCTCCTGTCAACAAATTCATCTTCACTTTTTCTTTACATATCATCCTTAATGACACAGCAGTTTTCAGAACTACATTGAGAAAAAGCTCTGCCATCCTCCTAGAACTAAGGCATCACTATTTTAGGAGTGCTCACTCACCAGAGTGGAAGCAGTGGGTCAGTTTTGCTTGCACCAGCCTTCAGCCTCATACTTCAACTGTGATTGCTTCCCAGAGTCTTGGTCATTTTCTTAGTTCACATGAAATCCTCACACATCCAAGAACGTGCTCCTTGTTTCCATGAGGATGCTCTTGCTTTGGGTGAACAACCAGAAAGGAGTAAAACATATATTTAAGGCACATTGAAGGAACTCACTTCTACTCTTCCAGAGTTTTTAAAATAATAATAATAATAATAATAATAATAATAATAATAATAATTTATTTATATCCCACCCTTCTCACCCCAATGGGGACTCAGGGCGGATTACAGTACACAAAAACAGCAAACATTCAGTGCTGCTTTGTATAGACAATATACATACAGACAGACAGAACAGAAAGGAGGTGTGTTGTTTCGACTCAGTGTCCAGCTGTTTTGGTGCCATAGAAGGTTGGGCTCGAGTCCAGCCACAGGGGGTGCTGTCACTCCATTCTCTATGACAAAGAACCATCAGGACTTCCTCCTTTCTTTTGGTCGTCCAGCATTTTCTGATCTTTCTTTAGGGCGTCATAACCCCCCCCCTGCTTTTAGCGGTACCTAATTTCTCTCATTACAGCTAAAGCTGTTTTTGAACTGCTTAGGTAAACAGTGAGTAGGGCTGACAGCTGGCAGCTCACGCTGATCCGAGGCTTCAAACTTGCAACCTTTCAGTTGATAGGTCTTATAGCTGCTGGTGATATACCAGTTGTGCTATACCTCCGGCACTTTCTGATTACTCTCCTAAGGCAAGAGCAGCCTCATGGAAACATGGATCACATTCCTGGATGTGTCAGCATTCTCTCTTCATCCCAATTTCCCCCTTTGTATTCCTCTTACCTACATTGATGCAAACTGAGTAAAAGTGCAGAAATAGTTTGCATTCAATAAATTCAGCAAGAAGATTAAAGAGGAGGTGGAATCATTCTTTTCCCAGTAGGTTCAGGCAAAAGCAAACTCACCTAGTTTGTGAGTTCATTTCCATTAATACTTTTAGCCATCTTAATTATAATGTTGCTTGGTCATCTATAGTCCAATTTTCATCTGTGAATTGTTGTAAGGTATCACAGTCATACAAGACAGTTAAAATCCAAGGCAGTGGCATAATAAAATCCTCATCTGGGAGTAAAAAAAAATCCTCATCTAGTTAATCTCTGCTTCAAACACTTTGTTGCAATTTGATTTGTCAGACCACCTACTAGTTGTTAGGAGGCTGAGAGGAGGCTGAATAGCTACGGTCATAGTTTGCACTCTTATAATCTAGTTGCATGATATTGTATTAATCTTTCCCTCTTGAGACTAAAAAAGAAAGAGGCTAAAACTCCAGAAACTGTATACATCAGGCCATATAGTTCAGGTTATGCATGCATATGAAAAATGCAAGAAAGTTTTTTCCCCACATTTCTCTGAAATATATCTATGTACCTTGCTTGCAGATGACAGCGTCCTGTTATTTGTAGTACAGTAAATCTTCTTTTTTTTGTAAATTTGGCCACAACAATGAAGCTGAAATGATGAATACATTAAACAACCTCTTTCTGCAGAGACTCGCAGCAGGGAAGAACACAGTTAAAAACACATAATTATAAAACATTATGTAAAACACATACGGTATATTAAATTGGATTTCTATGAAATACATTTGTTGAAATGCACAGGACAAAGATTAAAATACAATAAACACAAGACATGAGTTTAAAATTCATAGTCAAAACTGACTGGGAACACCTGTTAGAAGAGATAGGCCTTAAGTTGTGTTTAGGACTTCATCAGATGAAGGCAGAGAAACATCTCCCCACTTCTCTGCACTGCTGGGCCCAGAGGAATTAGGTGTACACAACTCCTTTGCCAAAAATTGGCAGAGGAGCCAAAGAGGAAACGGGAAAGTGGGGAAATATTGTGGGAAGGCAAAGTATGGACCTCGATGGTAGGGAACCCAGCCAGACTGGTTCCCTATGTTGCTCTGCAATTTCTCCCATTGTCCCCTGCTTTACAAAGGGCTACCTGAAGAGGTCTTTAAATTCTGACAGCTGATTTACAATTGGCAAATTTTGCAGCAAAGGTACTTCTTCCAACCGTTAATCCAGCACCAAAGGAATCACAATTTACTTCCAGAAAACTCTGGAGTAATCCTGGTGCTATTGAGGTGAAGACAGCTGAATAGGGTGGGATCCCATCCAGTCCAGTGCCCACATATCAGACAGACCTAAAACTATGTCGCCAGCTAGACACAGCTCCAAGTCAGAGCCTTGCTGTCAATGTCGCTTCTAGAGATTGCATGGCTGTGCACCCTGTTGTGACCTCAATGTCGCCCACAAAGCTCTCCCAAGGAGTTGTTTTTGTCTGGTGAAACAGTGGCAATAGTCTCAAAGTGCTGTTGGCCAAGCCTTCTGTCTGGTCTTGAAAAGGGCTCCCGGGTGCTATCATAATGTATCAATGAAAGCTTTAGTTTACAGTCATCTGGATAATTTGAATAGGTGTAGATGCAGCCTTGTTATGGCTAAGGTATATTTTGATAATTTTATTTAAATATTTATATACCACACACTATTAGAAGATTTCTGTTTTCTGTGAATGCATTTCTGACACAGGACTAGGATCTACGCCTGAATTCCAGCTGCATATTTTTAATACAGATGTGAATTAAGGATATCTAGATTTTGACACTGATTGCATTACATCTCTGTCTTTTTTTTCCTCTGGACCATTCTCTGAGTAGACTGACTGGCCTCCTGTGAAACAGGTGAGCTATAGTCAGCTACTATGGTATACTACTATAATGACTATGCATTAGATAATTTAGCAAGCCTATCCTATGATAGGATAGACTGAGCAACATTCTCAGAAAGGTATCTATAGTGACTATAAAATGATCCATTCCTCTCCTTTGGTATCATTTTTGATTTATTTTACATTGACTTCTTTTGATCTAACTGTTTTGATCTGGTTATGTGTTCATTATTATTTATACTGTATCTTCTTTGTTGTAAGCCACCCTGAGTCCCCCTGGGGAGAGGGGGCGGGATATAAATGAAACATCATCATTATTATTATTATTATTATTATTTGAAACACAACAAGATGAGTCCACAGCAGACACTCTACTGGCTGTTGTATTGGATCACACGTTGGACACTTCCCAAGTGTCTAGGACTGTGTGATGTATCGGCGAATAATGTGTGCAGATCCCAGTAAGGTGGCCTTCTGCAGCTGGCAGATGGGAATTTTGTCAGTGCTGATTGCGTTTAAGTGCAGGCCAAGGTCTTTAGGCACTGCACCCAGTGTGCCAATCACCACTGGGACCACCTTGACTGGCTTGTGCCATTATTATTATTATTATTATTATTATTTGACTATTTCTGTGTTCCCAGCTCTATGGCCAATACACGGAGCAGCTCCCCAGTTTTTCTCCAAAGGAAGCCTCTGAACTCCTGAGTGAGAAGACACCCCAACGCAATGGCCAAGGGCCCCTGAAGCGGAGCAGTCAGGCTGAAATCAAAGAAGAACGCCACTCCAAATGCCATGGTAGGTTAGCCTGCTGTTCCCATAGGCTTTTTTGATTGTTAAGAGAGGGCTGATATACAAGTAAAAGATGTGTAAAGATGGACACAGTTAATTGTATATGGTGGCTATCAGTGGAATCAAATGACACCAAAAGTTTTTTTAAAATGTCAGAAGTGACTTGAGACACCGCAAGTTGCTTCTGGTGTGAGAGAATTAGCCATCTGCAAGGACATTGGCCAGGGAACGCCTGAATGTTTTGATGTTTTACCATCCTTGTGGGAGACTTCTCTCATGTCTCTGCATGGGGAGCTGGAGCTGACAGAGGGAGCTCATCCACGCTCTCCCCAGATTCAAACTTGTGACCTGTTGGTCTTCAGTCCTGCTGGCACAAGGGTTTAACCCACTGCGCTACCAGGGGCTCCTACCATGAGATAGCTAGAACAATTAAATTATATATCTCTTAGTTTTTATTTAGTGGTTTCTTCCTACTAGTTTGCCTATTGAGGGATCTTTGCATAGAAACAAGCAAACCCAAGTACATAAAACTTTCACAGGAGGAAATGTTGCGTGTTTCACATCTCCAAATGCACCCCTGCCCCCAGCTCCTTCCTAAGAAATATAAGGCAGTTCGGGATCCTCCAGCATGACGCCATGTTACTTTGGGGCTAGAAGTCCTTCATTTCAATAGGGTCACTATTATTGACAGTTTCATGGATCCATGCAAAGTCTGAACAAATATTACCCACAGGTATGGAGGTCATACTTAGTTTGTGTGTCTTCACGTCATTTCACAGGGTTGTCTTGTCAAGATTTCTTTGCAGAAGGCTTGCCTTTGCCTTCCTCTGAGACTGTGTGACATGCCCAATATCACTCAGTGAGTTCTCTTGGCCAAGCAGGGATTTAAACCATAGTCTCCGGATGCATGGTCCAAGGTTCAAACCACTGCACCATGCTGGCTCTCTTTATCAACGTAGAGTGTATATTGTATATTGAACTTGAGTGTCCATATTTGCATAATGTAGTTATGCTGTATGGTTTTGGTTAGTCATTTCTCACCTTGCATTCATTGTCTTAGGGGAATGTCAAGAAAAGCACTGTTAGAACCCATTGATTTCCGCTGTTTTAGCAGAAAGAGATTTGAGTACAGAAAGATGATAAAAATGCTAAATCTTGATTGGATCATTTTCAAAAAGTTTCTTTTAACTCATGCGATTGTCTAAAAGATTACTTTCCTCCACAGCCTGTGCTAAAAGCATCCAGAAATATTTAACCAAAAAGCTAGGGGAAGACTGGATATTCTTAGTTCTCCTGGGGCTTGTGATGGCACTGGTGAGCTGGGGAGTGGATTATGCCAGTGCAAAGAGTTTGCAAGGTAAGTGGGCCCACATACTAGAGCAGGAGTCTCTTATAATTCTCTTTTATTGTCCAAAATCAGAGAAGGGCATCAGTGGGAGCCTAGAGGGCCACAGTCAACCCATAGAAGACTTTGGAGGCACCTTCCTCAACGCATCCAACTACTAGGGCAAAAAAACCCTTAAAACCATTTTTTGTCCTCAAAGGCAGTTCATTTGACAAGGCAGAGGAGAAGAACTGCCCTTCAAAAAAAGAGAACCCTTCACTCTCAAAGACTCTGTTGCCCCAAGGGCCCTTGACAAGGAATTAGCTTCTCCAACACACCAGCTGATTTGCGGGCAAGGTATCTGTGTAGGAGAAGGCCAATGTGCACTGTTGAAAAACAGCTTGGGTCTGATGTCCTCTGGATTGATTTGCCAGTTTCTGTGGTGAATTGGGGCTGGGAGGGGGGCAGGGCAATCCCGCCACACTGCACCTCGCACCCCACCTCGCTGGCATCTCATGCTTCCACATCAGATGTGGGGAAGTGTTGCCATGTGGCTTCCCCCTGCAGTAGCCCCATTGTGCCTAATGGAACACAGCGAGGCTCCCATGTTGAATGAATGAATGAATGAATGAATGTATTCTGATCAACAGATCAGACCATGTTGGTGGCACAGTGTAGGATATTCCTACCCCAGTTGAACCACAGAACCCCACCAGAAGTGAGGCTATGTTGTGTGTTTTTTACATATGTACGTCTATTATATAGTATGTTGTTTTGTTTTTAATGATTTTTATAAATACTTGGTATGTCTGTATATAAGTGCAATGTTTTACCATGTTGGAAACCTCCCTGAGACTCCTTGGGGAGATAGAGTGGTATACAAATAAAGGTTTATTATATTATTATTGCTGGGCAGAGTGGGACTCCGTGGTTCAACCAAGGCAGAAGTGTCCTAGGACGCTGAAATTTCCTCATGTGATGAGGTCATAAGTGTGGGTATGTGGAATGGGTGTATTGAGGGAGGGATGTCCCTGAGTGCTCTGTATCTTTTCCAACACTGGATGCAGGAGAGCTAGATGGGTGAGTTTTCAGTAGAAAAATATTATGAAGAGAAAGAATCAACCTTCTCCTTCCCCACTCCTTGTCATTGTACTTGGGGCGAGTGACTAAATCTGGAGCCAGTCCAGCCAAACCTGCTGCTGTGCCATGTTGATATACAGCCAGCTGGAGTGTCACCTTACTCATGAGCACTTCTCCTTCTTCCTGGTCATGCAGGAACCCTATACTGGCACCAACTGGGCAGCCCAAAATGGCCAGAGCTCCATGACAATTGGTGGTGGTGACAAGAGAAAAACCATCCCCTCCACCTGCACTATTCAGTGTAGGGGAAGAGTAATGGTGCAGTATCTAACTGGACAGCTGATCACAGCTGAACAGTGGGAGCTCACCCCGCTCCTAAATTCAAACCGCCAACCTTTCGGTCAGCAAGTTCAACACCTCAGTGGTTTAACCCGCTGCACCACAAGGGGGCCTTCACTATAGGATATATTTATTTAATTAATTAATACACTGCCTTTCTCTCAGTAGGACCCAAGGAAGCTTACACAAGAGACCAAAACAAGATGCAGCGAAATAACTTGGTGATACATATATTTAAAGATATGATTTTAGGTCCTACATCTGCTGACCTTTGCCATTGTTTCTCCCTGCAGCTTACAAATGGATGTACCGAGAACTTCACCCAAGCATCCCTATGCAGTTCCTGGCCTGGGTCACATACCCCCTCATCCTCATCCTCTTTGCTGCACTTTTCTGCCAACTTGTTTCTCCACAGGCTGTGGGTGAGAAAGCAAGTGATGGGAATTTAGACCTGTCCCTCTATCTTAACCTCAAATGATCCAGTAGAGGGTGATTCTTCTCCCCTCCCCCCCAACTCAGGTTTACGCAGTCACATGCTAATAACTCAGTTCCATTTTTGAAATAACAAAATTACAGTCAAAAGGAATTGATCATCCCGAGTGGCATTTGGAGCCTATGAGGAGGGTCTGTGGTGAGAATACTGTAGTTACAGTCAAGGAACCATTTAGTTTCCCCCTTTCCTTAGGATGCTTACTATCTATGTATGATAGGCTTGGTTGATCAAAAAAAAAAAAGGATCAAAACTCGTTTCGGATGTAGGGGGCACTGGTGGTTCAATTCTAAAGTCAGTTCCGGTTTTCACAGAAAACTTTTTTCAAAACTTTTCTAAACTTCTGAGACTTCCAAATCCTTTCGTTAATGGTTTGAAAGTGTTATTTTCTGCTTTCATTGGGTGGTCTTTACTTTGAAAGTAGTTGTTTTACTCCAGAAGTGGGGAAAAGCAAGCAGAGGAAATTCCTTCCTTCTCTGGTTTAAAACTGGCTTGAGCTGAGGCCAAAAAATTCCTTCCTTCTCTGGTTTAAAACTGGCTTCTCTGGCTTTAAAACTGGTTTCTCTGGCTTGAGCCGAGGCTAAGGACCAGAAGCGGGGAAAAAGCAAACAGAGGAAATTCCTCCCTTCTMTGGTTTAAAACTGGCTTCTCTGGCTTGATCCGAGGCTAGGGACCAGAAGTGGGGAAAAGCTGAATCATTTCCGACTCACTTCCTGAGTCGTAATAAAAATGGCAGAAAAAGCTTCGGAAGGGCAAAAGGACTTCTGGTTTTTTAAAAAGCGTTGATATCGCTTCGAAAAGGTAATTTTAATGAAATTATTACGAGCAACGAGTTATTCGAGCAACTCTCCATGCCTACTGTATGACTGCAACTCGTCTGAATTTCAATGACACAAATTTAATATGGACCATATGTGTAACTTTTCTAGGTTGCTTGTTATTGGTTGTTTTCCTTTTGTCTTTCATAACTCATTTTCTCACTGTGATTTTTCTGCATTATTCAGGCTCTGGAATCCCTGAGCTAAAAACAATCATGAGAGGAGTGGTACTCAAGGAATACCTCACACCTAAGGCATTTGTGGCCAAGGTTGTCAGCCTCACCGCTGGCCTAGGAAGTGGGATACCAGTTGGGAAAGAGGTGAGCTTCGTGGGGATTAGTAAGGAAAAAGAAGAGTCTGCAATAGCTGGGGTCAGGGAAGCAGAGAAGAGACATTTATCATGCAGTTTGCTAGGGCTGGATTCTTAAGCAACTCTTAAGGGTTGCATATGGTCCTAAATGTTTTTGCATTGCCCCAAGTCCCACCTCAACCTTCTTCCCATGAAAAAATATATATAGCTGGATGAAAGCTTACCCAAAGGATGCCCCAAACAGCAACCTGGACCAGTATTATTCTTTAACGTGAGCCCACAGCTGTCCCACTTTTCCAAAAATGGGTTGAACACCAGAAAGAATTTTGGTCTTATATTCTGGAATATGATCTGGCCAAGCCCTTCAGGGCCTCTGGGTCCAGGAGAACTTAGCAAGATCATAGCTAGAGTTGCTGCTGCAGCAGCTGGAGCTCCCGGTGGTGCAGTGGGTTAAAACCCTTGTGCCGCAGAACTGAAGACCAACAGGTTGGAAGTTCGAATCTGGGGAGAGTGCTTATGAGCTTATGAGCTCCCTCTGTCAGCTCCAGCTCCCCATATGGGGACATGAGAGAAGCCTCCCACAAGGATAGTAAAACATCAAAGCATCCGGCCACCCCCTGGGCAATGTCCTTGCAGACGGCCAATTCTCTCACACCAGAAGCGACTTGCAGTTTCTCAAGTTGTTCCTGACATTAAAAAAAAGCAGTTGGAGTGAATAGGAAATCTGGGGTTCTGGTAAAGAATTTTTAAAGTTATTTTCTCCCTTGAAAGTACAATGCTCCCTTGGTATCTACTGGGATTTGGTTTCAGAACACCAATGAATACCAATATCAGTCAATATTCAAGTATCATTTGATATTATTGATAGTCCCTCATATAAAATGGCAAAAATCTAGGTTTGCTTTTGGGAATATGTTTTTAAAGATTTAAGCCTTCCGTGGTAGAATCAAAGGATACAGAATTCATGAATATGGAGGAACAACGGTAATCCCCTCCAAGACCAGTAGCAAGGGAGGAAGGGCTTTCACAGGCATACATTTAATTCTAAAAATGTATTTGGCAGTAATGGGGAAAAGAGCTCTAGGGTCAGATAAATTTACTATTGTGTTTGTTATTATAATGCTGATTAATCAAGCAACCCAAACATACGCATCTCTGAAAAGTAATGTTCTTCTGTTTAAAGCAGGCATGGGCAAACTTGGGCCCTCCAGGTGTTTTGGACTCCAACTCCCACAATTCCTTACAGACAGTAGGCTTTTAGGAATTGTGGGAGTTGAAGTCCAAAACACCTGGAGGGCCGAAGTTTACCCATGCCTGGTTTAAAGTATGTCTGGATTGCTTCTTCTGCTGCTTTCACTATAATTTGTTTAAATCAGATTTTTAAAAAACCCCTAAGTGTAGTCCCTTGATTACCTTAACAACCTGCAAGGAGATCCTAGGCATTTGTTGGTGGTGATGCATATTGTGTTTGCTTGTCCCTGTAATTTCGCAGAGGGATAAGCAAAAGAGCAGAGCGATGGAAAGAAACTAGATGCATGATAATACTTGAGGAAAGAGTAGATATGGGATCAAGGAAATGGAAACAGGGAAGCCAATGAAGGCAGGACTGGAAGGAGAATTCTAACTGATCATGGGAAAGAAAGCAAAGCCAGAAGGAGAAAAAGAAAGCAGACAGTAAGCATCAAAGGTGCCCATGATCAGGAGCATATTAGATGGAAAACCAGTAAGTTGCAGGTCAGATTATGATGACTGGAGTCTAAGGGCCCATCCAGACAGTACCTTTATCCCAGGAGCTTCTGCAGCAAGCAGGTGCAGGAACATTCCAATTCTGAGCTGAAAATCCTTATCTTCGAATGTCTGCATGTTCCTGCACTCGGAAATCACAGGATTTTTTTTATCTGGGTTTGTTCCCAGGTTTTAGATGTTTGTTCCTGATTGATCAGTTCCTAAAAAGAAGATGACAGTTGAGTAAAATGCCAAAACTTTGTTTGTGTGCCAGAAATTTCATGAATTGTGTGGAGGGCTCATTTTCTCTGGCCAGGACAAAGTTGTGGCCCCTTAGTCAATGTTGTACACCTTTTCACAATAAGAGCAATGAGGATCAGACATGTATAATCCAGGAACAACACCCTGTCTGCACAGATGGCCCTGCAGTTTATATAATGGAACTTATACAATGATTCACATCTTCGCATCTTGAGTTCCTTTCACAAAAAACGGATGTCCTGCAATGGCCATTTTGGGAGCCTCTAAGCAGCAAGTGTGCACAATACAGACAGAAATCCCAGGACCAGCAGGTCTATATGTAGTAGGCCTGGGTAACAACGGAAAAATTTGTTTCTAAAATCGATTCGTTTTTTTGGGGGGTTTTGCGTTTTGTTATTTAAAATAATTACAAAATTTTCCTTTTAAAAAGTTCGATATTTACGAAATTTCGTAAATGTGAAAAAAATTACAAAACATTAACGAATCGATTTCCGAAACAATAACGAATCGATTCGTTAATGGCGGACACGACCGCGAAATACGCTAAAAAACCTCCAAAAACTTCTGAAGCTTCCCTCTCCCTCTGTTGTTGACTGTTGGTGTGATATTATAATTTTTTTTCACTAATTAAACAAAAAACTTGCCCCAGACATGCGGAAATAATAACGAAACGACCTCAGAACAATAACGAAACGAATACAATAATGAAATACGAAGCATTTACAAAACGTGTTTAAAAATTCGTTTTTTTAAAAAATCGCTCCAGAATGGTTCGTTATCGCTTCGTAATCAACAAAATTAACGAATTATTAACGAATTACAAATTAACGAAACGAAACCGCCCAGCCCTAGTATGTAGACCTTTTCTGAAGTCCTGGGATTTTTTTGCCCCTGATGAAAACCCGCGATTTGCTGCTGTTTCCGTGATTTGCTGCTGTCTGGAAGCACCCTAATCCATCTTTCTGTATTTGATGACTTAATATTAACCTCAATTGCTCCCCCCCCCCAACTCTTATTTTCTGGTTTCTTTACTACAGTTGGATTTTCCCAAAGACAGGATTCAGGTGTTTACTTGAGAAAAAGAAAGTTAGGCAAAGATTCTGTAGGGCTTTTTAAGACAATGAGCCTGGAAAGGGAGAAAAGCAGGTCAGAGGAGCAGTTAAGGTTAGGGCCTTGATTTGTTTCTACTTGGACACGCAAGAGATTTAAATGCTGCTTCTCATCTCCTTCTTCACCCCTTCATTCTTTCTCTTTGCAGGGCCCCTTTGTGCACATTGCTAGCATCTGTGCTGCTGTTCTCAGCAAGTTCATGTCCATCTTTTGTGGTGTATATGAGGTAAGTGTTCTGCATGCTCCATCTGGTTTGTGAGGGAGACTGTGAGGTGGAAGAGAGCATCAGGGATGTAGACTCTTGGTGAAGAGGCCAGAACAAAGTCGTATATTAGAAGATAAAAATTGGCCAGTAAGTGGTGAAATGATTTCTTCACCGTCTTCCTGGTTGTGTGGCTACCTCTGTTCATGTGTCTAGCTTTTCGCGGAGATGGCAACAACACAGCTATGATCCACCCCCTTTTTCCTCTGCTGATGAGATCAGGGAAAAGTTGGTGGTGGTGATGTCCCATGTGAACAGTGGACTTGTTCAAATCCTACCTGATCCAGCTGTCCACACAACCCTGAAGCTGTGAGATACTCTCGAGTTTCAAGCACACTCTAGATCACTCCCCTGAGGTTTCATCTACACTGCCATATAAAATCCAAATTATCTACTTTGAACTGGAATATATGGCAGTGTAGACTAATATAATCCGGTTCAAAGCAGAGAATTGTATATTTATTTATTTAAAACATTTATATTCCGCCCTTCTCATCCCGAAGGGGACTCAGGGCGGAGCACAGGATATAAACGGCAAACATTCAGTGCCGGGACAAGAATTCATTATATGCATACATAAACATTAAAAACATTTATCTCAATATTAAAATACACTGTTTAAAACCATCTATATGGCAGTGTAGATGGGGCCTGACTGCTTTTGAAGCAGAACAAAGTCATTTTGACCTGGTATAACCTGCAATACTCAATGGATGTGGCGGAACATTGTGAAGACAATCAGGAATCTACTCAGAGTGAGCCTGTGTTGTCAGCCCATGTAGACTCGGCCAAAATTATGGTTCACGGCAGCTAGCAGTGAGTCAGCTTCCCCCTTGGCTGCTTTTGACCTTGTTGCTTACATTTCCTAACCTGTTCAGGTTTTAGAATGTCAGTTTTTCAGAATTACATTGAAACACATACTGCATACTGCAGTTTGAACTGGATGACAATGCTCAGTGTAGACTCATATAATGCAGAGTGAACTGCATTGAGCTGGATTTTATAAGTCTCCACTGCCATATAATCAAGTCCAATGTAGATCATCTGCATTCTAAAACTATATTATATGGCAGTGAAGATGAAGCCACAGAATTCTTGTTGCAGCTGATTGCTATTTTTATATCAGTGAAATTATTTCAACCTAAGGGTCAAATTCTGTTTCTGAGAAGTTTTTTTTGGGGGGGGGGGGGGTTGCACTTTAGTCATGGGTGGGGCCTAAACAAAAAGGGTGAAGCTAAATTACCAGTGTCTTTTGTTTTAAAAATCATACAGCCAGTAAATAAACTTACCCGGTGTGTCCAGACAGCAGAGAAATCCATGCCAAAGTGGGTTTTAAAAACTCGCTTTGGCATGAGTTTTCATCCCCACAAGCTCCCCCCCCCCCAAAAAAAAACCCGGGTGTTCCCAGCCACTCTGAAGCACCCCAAATGTACCCCCCAAAAGTAAATAAAACTTACCACCATTAATTTCCTTTTCACACCCTCCTGGCATGATGAAATGATGCACCAGGTGATAGAGGGGAGGGGATGAGGAGGAACATTTGGGGATTGAGGGAGGGGTGGGTGCCCTCTCAAGTTTTCAGATTTCTGGAGCCCAAAAACCCAAGAGGGCTATGTGGATTGGGCCTGGGGATTGCTTGAAGTAGTCCCTGGGCCCAATCCACTCAGGGCCCACACTTGGTAAGACCCGGATTTTTCCTTTAGACCCGGATCTTACCAGGTGTTAAATTAATTTGTGTGTTCCGTATTAATTCGGTTTTACCTGAGGCATTGTTTTGACGCCTCTTGTAAAACTAACAGAGACCCCATATTATGGGTCTGCCTGGATGGGCCCTATGAAAGAGAGAAATGTGAACCTTTTAAAATAGTGGGGGGAACAATACAAACATAGGAAACTAACCACTACATATAAATATTGAGCAGAACAACTGTATCGGTAACAAATCTCAAGAAGTGGCTGGGTGACTTTAAAAGCAGAGATAAAAATCTACATGTTATAAACTGCTATAACTTGAAGCTGGCTGTGACATTAAAATCGAATCGCTTCTAACACTGGCTGTGAAATTATAGAGATGGGTGCTTTCTAACCATGGCTGGCTTTGTGGCTAGTGACACAATACCATTCCAGTGCCTGGTAACAAAATCCAAAAGAATGTCTCTTACAAAGTATGTAAGAAATCTAAACAATAAATGAATAAATAAAATAAATACCAGACTACAATGAAGGTTAGTATAACAATAGGAGGTTATTGGCACACAGGAAGGGGCTAAGTTATGGTAGATGTTTCACACCAGATCCGTCTATTGTCCCAAAGGCTGGGGCACTGTAGCTGCGAAAGAAGGCAGGTCTTGCCATTGGCTTTTGCTTTGCTTTGGACGAAGAGGAGACTAACCTTGTGGCTGTGCTGCCTCTAACCCTGGCATGCGGCTGGGCTTTCTGTTCCAGAACATACACAGGCAGCTGGACCTCCTGGTGGCAGCTTGCGCAGTTGGAGTTGGATGTTGCTTCGGGGCTCCCCTTGGAGGCAAGTGCATTCTTGTGTTCATACATACAGCATTTACGCTCCAGGCTGAGAAGGACTCTGGAATGAAAGCCACATTTCTATGCCACTGGCATCATTTATGGCCTTGCAATGTGTTTTCACATAACCTGACAGAGTTATGCTAAAGGGCGTTCTGTAGGAAATAGGAAGAAGCTGTGATGCAAGGAGGCTAAATTTTTTATTTTATTTATTTATTTATTTATGACATTTATATGCCACCCTTCTCACCTCGAAGGGGACTCAGAGTGGCTTACAAGATATATATACATACAATATATTATTAGCATAGTACAATATCAGTATTAAATATTATTATATTGCATTATACCATTATATTGTAATATTATTAGTAATATTACGTGTAATATAAATATATAAATATATAATTATAATATCATATTATTATTATTATTATTATTATTATTATTAGTAGTAGTAGTAGTATGATATTGCATTACATTATAACATTATAATATTTCATGGGCAGCAGGAAGTGACATCCGGCTCATCTGGCCCAATATATTAGATGATTGTGGCATTCCTTCCACATGATGTTTCATGATTTCACGTGTTTTAGACCCTCCCCACATCTATATGATTTCTTACCATATAAGAGTCTTAAAGATAAAAATATATAGATCCATACTATACATAACAACTTGTTTGAGAATTGATAAGAGCCACATTCTAAAATATCAAATGGTACAGTGCTGAGAATTATCATTTGGTGTGTGGTATCGTTTCAGAGTTCAAATGGGTTTGGATGAGAGAACATTTCCCCCAGATATAAGAAGGAAATGTTTCTGGGTCAGTATTGTCACCCACCCAGTCCCCGATTGTAGATAGATACTAGCATGTCATTGAGAAGAAGTCTTCTTTAGTGTTCTTGGTGTTTTGCTTTCCTGGTAGGAAAGGAGTGGGGTTTATTTCTGTATAAAAATGAATAGCACATTAACTTGAATACTTATTCGCTTGCTACATCCAGATGTGCATTTTTCAGTGTGTAATTTTACATGTGGCACATTCTCATAAAGTCAGGCTTCTTTCTGAACATATAGTTTGGCTCTGATATCCTGATAACATTGTTCATTTACTCAGTTGCTTTTTATCAAGTGTCTCAGAGCTACTTTGTACATTACAGTACCTCTGCTTGAATGTTATCTTGCTTCAGAAGAATATGAGATTCCTGCCTGTAAACCTATATACCAACTCTAGCTTGTAAACAGATGAATCCGGAACACTTTATTAATTATTTATTTATTTACAACATTTATATGCCGCCCTTCTCACCCCTAAGGGAACTTAGAGCGGCTTGGACCTCATCACATGCAATCTGCTTTACTTTTCTCTGTGCTGACAAAATAAAGTCAAATGATGCAAGGCCACTTCCGGTGCTTGCATCGTTTGGCCGCCTCTGGGGAAAACCACGACAGATCCCATTTTTTGGGCCTGTCTGGATGCACCTTTATGTCATCCAGGGTCCTTGTAAGTAAATTTTAGGGGCTACATTTGGGGCTTGGGGTAGCTTCATGCTATCCCGATTTTTCTCAGGATGGCATGTAGCCACCCCCCCCCCTGAAATCCCGGGATTTGTGTGGGAAGTGGGGACAGGAACCCATGCTGAAGTGGATTATTCAAACACACCTTGGCACATATTTTGGTGCTGTCTGGAAATGCCCTCTGTTTTCACAAGTTGGGTGCTTGTGGACTCCCAACAAGAGATTCATGGAAAGGTGTGATAGCAGTTAACCATTACCATCACAGAAGATGGAAAGGCATAGAACCTTGACAGTAGGGAATGAAAGAAGATGGTCTCCTCCACTTTTCCCAGCTCCTTCCCCCATGTGATGAGGTCCTTTATATATGCACTGCAATATCACACTTTAAAATCCATATACTTACACAATTTCTTACGTTTTCTTATTGGAAGAGTATAACATGTGAAATTGTTTGCAAACCTACACTCAACCTCACAATCACCAACTATAGACTCTGAATATCCCTTTCCATTTGATATTCCTTCACTTTTGAAAACCCAGGCCCTAGAATCTAGAAAGGATTCTGCATCTATGAAGACTCAGACACGGGCCTGACTGCTTGCATGATGAAGCCAGCTTTGCTTAACATCATTTTCTGTTAGTGTAGTGAAGCTTATGCATAAGAGACAAATGAGACAGAAACTCCTCCTGGCATACAGAATATGGTTCAGTGGGTATAACTTGTGTGCTTAGATAACCTGAATCAACTATCCTATGTTGTTACCTTCCAATTCTGTCACTCACTCTTCCTTTTCTTCTCTGTTTCTGTGTGTATGTCTACCTCTCTTTCTCTCCTCTCTCTCATACATATCTCTTCCACCAGTAGCAGCCATATTATTACACAGATGTCCTGACTGTGGGATGTGCAGTGGGGGTTGGCTGCTGCTTTGGAACACCACTTGGAGGCAAGTGGCTACTGGCTATTGTCTAACTTTTCATCGGAAGCATGACACCTTTAACTCCTACCTTCCCTGCCTCTATCCTTCTAGTCTCCATCTCCCCAAATTCTTTGTCTAGACATTTGCCATTCACAGTTTCCTAAAAAATGCATTTGATGTTGGATGACTGGTGGTGAGCCCATCCTCTACTTTAAGTGGTGTTGAAACTACTGTGAAAACTTTTGAGATTTCTCCTCATGCTATTCCAGTACATTTTTCATCTTAGAACCAGATGAGCAAAACCAATTTTGAGTTTCTGAGATGCTGCGCACTGTTAACTATAATAACAAACTTAGACATGAGCTTGAGTTATATATGAGTATTTGGTAGGTTCCATTGAAGTTTAGCAGGTTTTTTTTTTCAATATAGGAATTTGGGAACGTTCCTGGAGAGTAGCTTGTTTCTTCCATAGGTCTTCCCCTGCAATGTACAGCATGTTAGATGTACTCTGTAATGCATCCTTCCCAGTTTATATTGGGCAACAGGAAGATGCAAAGGTTTGTTTGGAACTGTTTATGAAATGCAACCCACTGAATAGCAGATCCTGAAGAGAAAAGGTTCTTTTAAAGCAGAAAGTTTGGAAACCATTGCACTGAATTAAAGTGTGGAGTTTAATTTTGCTTACACCCATGTCCACTGTGGCCTCAAATCTTATTAGAAGGAAACTATTACCATATATACTTGAATATAAGCTGAGTTTTTCAGCCCTTTTTTAGACTGGAAAAGCCCTTCCCCTCTCCTCCGGCTTATACGCAAGTCAAAGTTATTTATTATTTTACTGTTATTATTGTTATTATTATTACATTTATTATTTTACTCTATGATTATTATTATTACATTTACATTATTTTACTCTATTATTTTATTACATTTATAATTTTACTCTATGATTATTATCATTACATTTATATTATTCTATTATTTTTACTAAATTTATTATTTTACTCTATTTATTGTTATTATTACATTTATTATTTTACTCTATTATTATTACATTTATTATTTTATTGTATAATTACTGTTATTACATTTTCATTATTTTACCCTATTATTATTATTATTATTATCATCATCATCATCATTATTACATTTATTATTTTACTCTTTTTATTATTGTTGGAAGGATACGTAAGTACATTTACATTGAAGAAGGTTAGAATAATATCCAAAAACATGTAACCTGCTGATGCCTCAATTAATGTAATTTTATTGGTATCTATTTTTATTTTGAAATTTACCAGTAGCTGCTGCATTTTCCACCCTCGGCTTATACTCAAGTCAATACAGTTTCCCAGTTTTTTTTGTGATAAAAATTAGGTTCCTCAGCTTATATTAGGGTATATATGGTATACCTGTATTCAAGTAAACTGGGAATTCAACCTGAATTTTTCCTCACACCCTAAGTGTAGTTTCATCTCTAGCCCCTTTGTAAACTCTCACTGGTGGAATGCAAGGTACTTGTCAGATGTTGCAGGTATATGTGCACTGTCATGTATTGTTGAGAGCCTCTCTTTTCCCCATAGGTGTCCTCTTTAGCATTGAAGTCACATCCACCTATTTTGCTGTCCGTAACTACTGGCGTGGATTCTTTGCAGCTACATTCAGTGCCTTTGTTTTCCGAGTCTTTGCTGTCTGGAATAAAGATGCAGGTACAGACAAACAATTTTTCAGCCCTTGCTGCTTTTGTCCAATCCTTTCCTCAACTCCAACCTCCAGGGTTGGTACTGCATGCAGATAACTTTACAAGGTTGAAGGGATGATGTGGGAATTCATTTCACCCCTGTTAGCTGCACTGTCTTGGTCCCTCATTTACCCTACGCAGCAGACAAATGCCAGCCCTCAGATGGGCTTAACATCAGTCCTTGCTTCACTTTGTTGGCTTCCTAGATTGTTCTTTTGTATTACAAATGCCTTTCCTCTGCTTTCATCTCTTATTTGTGCTGCCCCCATTTTATGACTTTATGTGAAACAGACCTACTTTCTGATGGCAGCTGTAGTGAGGTCTTTTGTATTCCAGTGCTCCTGAGGCTATATAGATTTCACTCCTGTCCAAAAACATATAAGAACATTAACGTCACTCGCTCTTTAAAGTGTGCTGCTCAGAGCGCAGGCAGAGCTCAAGGGAGATCTATAATACTTCCCATGCTTGCTTTCTGCTTATGCATTGAGAGCACATCTTTTGATGTGCCTTCCACGACCACCTTTGGGCTTCTCATTTCCAGTTCTCTCGTGTTCATTTTCTTCCTTCTAGTAATTCTTCCTGTCTCTGTTCTCCATTCGCAGTCACCATCACAGCTTTGTTCAGAACAAACTTTCGTATGGATTTCCCCTTTGACCTACAGGAGCTGCCAGCTTTTGCTGTAATAGGGTAAGCTCAAAGGGATGTAGCTAATTGCAATAGAGGTATAATACAAGGTGAACCGCACTGGAAATTTCTTCCCATAAAACAGAGTAGAATTCTTTAGAGGTTTCAAGTTAGGCAAAGCATATTCACCATCCTGAAGCTTTGAGCTATTTTATAATGACTCATTTCAGAGCAGGAATATGGTCCTGCTTTTGTAATGAGAAGCTATACTTACAGTGCACTCTAGGGAGACCAAGTGCAAAGAAGGGCCAATAGGGACTAGATCCTTATACCTTTTTTCTAGGAGGGTGCAATGTGTCCTATAGTGCTGAGCCAAATATCTCTCTGATATATGGGGTTTAAAAGCACAGGAGTCTTGCTCTTTACAATTGCTCGCTCTAAACTGCCTGGATAGGGTGCACATTTTGTCTGCCTTAGAAGCGCCCATGTTTTTGTCCAGGGTTGGAGGATGGAAATGAACAACTGGAGCCACTGTAGAAGCCAGTGTCCTGATTTGCCCTTCAAGAACAGACTTCAAGAAAGGGGGATGGCAGCAATGGTCCATGTGGCCACCGAACTGGTTCACATCAGACCTGGTCTTGCTGTCCACACTGTGACCAAACTATGAGGTTCTCCAGAGATTTTGCCAAACTCTGGAGTATTTCCCAACTTCCATTGATGTGGGGCTAAAGTGGATTAATCTGGTTTACACCATGATATGGTTTGGAAGTCCCTGAATGTCACAAATAGCCAGATCTTCTGAAGATGCCAGCCACAGATGCAGGTGAAACATTAGGAGAAAATGCTGCCAGAACATGGCCATACAGCCCAGAAACCGCACAACACCCCAGTGATTCCAGCTGTGAAACCTTTCGACAATACAATAGCCTGATATTTAGCAGAAGTGAACTCATGATGAAATCAAGCTGTTAAGCATGTGTCAACAAGCCCTATGTTATATTCTTTCCTTCATAGATTCCATTGGTGATTGGTGGACTCTGTCCACGTTTGTCTATCTTATTGTTTCACACCTGTTTTCCCCAATTTTCTCAGAAAATAAGACTTCAGGAAAACCAAACTGATAACCGACAGCTAAAATGGACTGGTCTCCAATCAACAATTATTTAAATATTAATCAGATATAGACCGGAGAGAGGCAAGCTTAGAAGAATTTGCAACTACTAATACAGCTACAAGGGAGAAAAATCATTAATTTAAATCACTAACCCTTCCCGCACTCATCTCCCCCACTACACTTCCACATCCTCTTCACTCCTTCCCCTTTTTTTTCCTTTTACTCTTCTTCTACTTTTTCTCCCTCCCTTTTCCCCCTCTAAATTCCCATTTTTTAAAATATATGACATGCTGATGATTAAATACTTTTCAGATGTACCCCCTTTAAAAACTTTAATAAAAATTATATTTTTTTAAAAAGACTTCAGGAAAAACAAAAACAAAAAGTATTTTCCACCCAAACTTTTGAGACTTTTCTGGAGTCCTCACATTTCTAATCCAGATAGTACTGCATGGCCTAATCATGCCAAATTTCATCCAAGTATTACTTTTTTTCATAGCCGCTACATCTCAAATGACTTCACAATAGAACTTCCCGCAGGTATTACCTAACTGGGGATGGTTTTACAATGTGTATAGATTGCTCAAAATATGTATACAATGGTTGCTTTGTACGCTAATCTTGAAGATGGTTTCTTGGGAATTTAGCCTAACTGGCTTGCTGAAATCTGTTTAACAGAGATGTCTAGCCTATCTCAGTTATAATAGAGTTGATATTATGTGGCATTGAAAAATGGTGCTTGTATTTGAAATGAGCACTGCTAGCTACTTAATGTTTATGAATATATTGCATGTTTAAAATGTTAAACAAAAAATATCTGAATAGCCAGAAAAGGGTCTGGCATGAAGGGGAGAAACAAAGAAAGAAGGAAAAAATAGTTTTAGTTGATTAAATTATATAAATGGTCTTATGTGGTAAAAGGTTGGGGTGTGAATTGTGCGATCTTTGCAGTTTGCCAAAGTTCTCATTGTGCCCCCAAATTTTTTTGAACTTTCCCAATTCTACTTGTGAAGAATATGTTGCTTAAAAGTGATGATTTGTGCTCCCAGAAACATTTAGGATGTGATTGACAAATCAAATGCTAGTATTTAGGGATCCACTGGCCTTCGATTTAGACCAAGAATTGAGGAATAGCATAGGGGAAAGACTGGACTTGCTGTGTACATTTACTATGAAGTGGCCACAAAGTTGGAGAGTATTGAGGTGGCTTAATGGGTTCGTAACTTGAAACTTCAGATTGCCATTTTGAATGCTCTCCTGTATTTAAAAATAATTCCAAATTGAAAACTAACTTGCCTGGAGTGGGTCCAGTTCCATATTTTAAAATCAATTTTTGCAGTGAATGCTTGTTATTTTTGTCAAAAGAGAAAGCATTCAAAAATGGCATTTTCCTATCTGCAGCCAGAAGTGGCACGGCTCACTATTTTTTCTTCTCTTCTGCATGTGTAAACACAGACCAAATAATGATTTTGTCTTGGTTACGGATATCATTTTGTTTATATTTATGAACATACTAGCCATCCCCTGCCACACATTGCTGTGGCCCAGTCTGTGTATGTATAATATATTGTGTATGTATAATATATATATGTGTGTGTGTGTGTGTTTGTGCATATGTGTATATATGTGGTTTTGCACATGCATTGTAATGTATTTTTTTTGCTTTTAAAGTCTCTTCCGCTGTGGTTTTCAGTGTTTTTATGAGTGATTGTCACTTTTTGGCCTGATAGATGTGTTGTGTCCAAATTTGGTGTCAATTCACCCAGTGGTTTTTGAGTTATGTTAATCCCACAAACGAACATTACATTTTTATTTATATAGATGTATAGAATTCAAATTGCTGGTTTTAACCATTAAAGCCCTGTATGGTTCTGGCCCAGATTACGTGTCTGAACATATCTCCCGTTACAAACCATCACAAAGCTTAAGATCAGATGGAGAGGCCCTGCTCTCGATCCTACTACCATCGCAAATGCAGTTGGTGGGAACGAGAGACAGAGCCTTCTAAATGGTGGCCCCTCACCTGTGGAACTCCCTTTCCAGTGACATCAGACTGGCCCCCTCTCTCCTGTCCTTCAGAAAGAAACTAAAAACCTGGTTATGGGACCAAGCGTTTGAGCAGTAGCAGCAGCAATCGTGAATAAGACTCAATGTATGTTATGACAATGGACTGATTTTAAACCGTCGGGATTTTAATCAAATGTTTCTTAATGTAATGTATTTTAATGAACTGTTTTTAAATATGTGTTATGATTGTGGCTAGCACTTGAATGAGTGCTTGTTGTGAAGTCATCCTGAGTCCTGTCCCGTTCCCCCACCCCACCCCTGGGGGGGGGGGTGAGAAGGACGGGGTACAAATGTATGAAATAATTAATAAAATAAATATGAATTATATAGAATGGAGTATTTTTGTACAGCCCTACTTAGAGTGTCTTGAAAGGGTCATAGGGCACTGTGGGAAACAGGATGCTGAAGTACGCACAGTCCCTTCATCTAATCCAAGAGGGTTTAGAAAGAAAAATGAGTAGGGGACTAATTTTTTTTCCATTTCTTCTACTGCAGGATCTGTTCTGGATTCCTGGGAGCATTTTTTGTTTATTTCCATCGTCAGGTGGTTTTGTGTGTCCGTCGGCACACAGCTCTGAGTCAGTTCCTCACCAAATAGTGAGTATGTTTTTTTCAGAGTTAGTCTGGTTTTGACTTCAAGGTTGCAAGCATTTCCATTATGCCAATAGACTTTTTTTCTGTATAAAGGCTAGTAAGACTATATCTGAAATAGTGATACAACTTCTGTAAAAGATCTCTATTACATTACTTCACATTTTAAGAGGGAAATGCTTCTGATGAACAAAGATTTCCTTTGTAATACAGATTGGATTAGTTGGAAAAATTGGGCACACAAAGTATACTTGATGGATAAGAATTTATGAGAACTTATGTAGTTTCCAAATAAAATTGAGGCAGATAGTTGAAATCCCCTTTGGTTTGGAGGAAATAAATAATGTTGAATAAAAGCTGAAGAAGCTTCCATGGTTCTTTGGGCTTAGGTTGCAAGGAAGCACAAGAAGCCTCTGGATTGTTCTTTGGCTTGGATTGAACAAGAGATTCTTCAAAGAGATGAGTTTCTGCTACCCGTTGATGATGGGAAAAGTTGCAGTTTGTGCCTTTCCATTTCTTCCCCTCTCACTTCCTGAATCTCCTGATGTTTCTGTTATAATTAATATTTTGTGTTACTCAAGTAAAACCACATAGGATTAGGGCATTATATCTTATAGACATTGCAGGGATGCAAATGGTTTGCATATCATTTTTTTCATTCTGATATTTACTGAACTATTTAATATTTGTTCCCTCAAACATAGAACAGTTCATGATTATTTTCTTATTTTTACTCTTTGTATAAATGGGAGGAGGGCAATTGTGAGAACTGCTCCAGAGTTTTAGTCATGTTAAGGCACACTGATCTACATTGATCACTCAGATTGGTTAAGAATCTGTTTGGGAGAAACTGGTTTCGCTGACCAGATGATTAGAATGACATATCTGGAAGGTCAATTCCAGGCAGGTAATTACATTAATCAACCAGAATCCATACTGTTTTTTCCCCACTCCTGGTTGATACTTCTGCTACCTTAGAGACAAGAGACCTCATCACATGCGAAAATTTACCCATCCTTGAACACTTCGCCAATGCAG